GGGCCCGTGGGCCCGTGGGCCCGTGTGCCCGTGGGCCCGTGGGCCCGTGGGCCCGTTTGTCTTACCTTAACTGCGCTGTCCCTGGCAACGGCCCTTCTCAATAGAGTTCAGGTGGTTTGCCTTAAGGTTTAGGGGTTTCGGATTTAGGGTTTTTTAGTTCTTAGTAAGCATACGGTTCTGTAGTAAAGAACAGCCCTAAGGGTCCGTGTACTCAGATAGCCTTTACATGGGCTTTCAAGTGCCTATATAGGGATCACATTAGGGCCAATGTATAATTATACTATATGAGCACATGGACCCTTAGGGTAAATCCGAAACCTAAGTACCTGATGTTGCGGGTTTCTGTACGTTCAGCGAAAGGAATCGAAGTGCAAATCGCATCACTGCAAACCCGCGTACCCTCAACCCTCGTGATCCTCTAGAATCCCGATCAAGCCTTGATAGAACCCATATGGGTGGTTCTCGGTAAGGGTGCCGCACTATGTTGGGGACCTAGCAACGGACCCTAACTTGGAGAACTACCCATATAACACCCGTATAGAACTAGAACCTTTGTGCCGCCAGTGCAAACCTTCTGGTAAAGTTCAGCTCTGCATGTGGTAGTCGACTAGATCCAACATGGCTTGATGCGATTGCTTAAGGCACGAAATCGAGGGCAATTTTAACTGGGGTTTTGGGTGCATTATAGAGTGAATCGAAAAAGGAGCTCGGACGAATTCTGCTACTTAGTATTCAAGCTTCTACATTCTGTGACAGGGCTTAGAGCTTGGGGTCTAAATCAAAACAGGTTCTGGATGCCACAAGAAACATGGGAAGGATGCGTCCCTGCCCATGTGTGCCGAATCTCAAGTTGCAAGTCACCTTGCTAGCTTCGCGTAATTTCTCATACCTTACATATAATACATATATATATATATACGCTCATCTAAACTACTAATATCTTTAACGAACCTTTGAAAACTCCAACCTTTGTTCACTCGAAGGCGTAGCGAGCCTGTGGAAGGGAAGTGGCCAGCACGCATGAATGCCTGAACATAGGGTTGAGGGCTTTGGGGATTAGGTGTTAGAGTGTGGAATTCCGCGTGTTAAGAGTTAGGGTTAAGGGTTTAGGGCTTAGGGTTTGATAAATAGGGGTTTGGGGATATTTTTTAAGTAACAGGTTGAGAATCAGGGTGTAGGGTTTCGGGTTTCGCAGACTGCCGTGAGGGTCCAAATCAGCAAATCGCACGTGGTGTACGTAGCCAAGCTATGTACTGCTTGGATAAAATGACCCTGGCCACGATGCCTGAGCAGCTATGGCTTTTGGATCGAAAAGCCTTAAACACTAAACCCTAAACCCTAAACCCTAAGAACAAGAGTCGTGAAAGCCTTAAGTTTGCTGCAAGACCTCGCCAGCAACTCGCAAGCTCGTGATATAATTGGAGGGGGGTCTGCCCAAAGATCCCAACACCCCGGAATATAACTGAGATAATAAGATCAAGGCCTCTATAGTTTAAGGTATATATTCCTTTACAAAAAGAGTATTGGGTTCTCTGGGTGGTGGTGAATGATTCTATAGATATGTCAGGGAACCCTCAGGATCGATCTTGGTAACCATTTAGGCTTGGACCTGTTCCAGCAAGGTCTGACTGAAGGGCTGCGCGGATCACGGCACTCAGAGTTTTCCGGGATTTTGTGTTTCTTTCTTTGTTTTTGTTTTCTTGCGGGAGGGCGGGGGGTGGTGTTCGGGGCTTACCTTTAGTCTCCATTGCAGTTCCCCTCCGTTGCTTTGACCATGTTTTATATTCGGGTTCCTACAAGGTAGCCGGAAAAAGGCTTAATCCCAAAACCCTAGGGTTGCGTCACCAGGGCCCTAGGGAACCTCCGGCTTCTGCTGGTAACCGCCGGCAACAGCTGCACGGAAAGCCATGGGCGCACCGTCCTTTCCAGCAAATCATCTTTGCATGATTTTGTTTTTTTTTACAGTTGGGGTCGACTCTTTTCGTGTCCGCCAGCAGTAGGAGGGTTTAGGGTTTAGGGCTTGCATGCGACTGCTCCGTTTGTGATTTCGAGATTGAGTCTGACGGAACTTGGGATTGTTGATACAAATTCGCTGTAGAGTCAGAGTTTGAAGCGTGCAGATCTTCGAGCAAAGATGGTCTGTGCTAAATATTAGGACGGTTCACACATCCAAGGGTATGTAAGCCTGAACCCGCAGATACCTGGAATCCTAGCATCTAGGGTTCCGGATTTGGGGTTAGTGCTTAGGATTCGGGAGAGCTGCGGGATACTTGACATGCGTTAAAGATCGACTCAAGTACGAGCCCAGTTGTGACGTAGGTCGTTGCGATGCTTGGCTGAAACCGCCGATTCGTGACGAACAGCTGTCCTTGGACTATGCATCTAATGATGAAGCTTTCTGAGGTTCATTAGGGTTTAGGGTTTAGGGTTCAACTTAACCGAAGGATCAGACAGAGGAGGTAGTCATTTAGGGTTTGAGGATGTGATGATATAGGGTTCGCTGGGTCCTTGCTGCGGGGACCGACTAGCAACTCAGGGCTTTGGTGTCAGGGTTTCAGGTTTTAGGGTTTCGGGTTTAGCGCTTCAGGGTTTAGGGCTTGACATGTTTGGGCTTAGGGCTTCGCCCCTGAACCTTAATCTCGGAAACATCCTAAACCCATACTGAACCCTGCAAGAACTCTTATGCAGCCCTTCCAAACAAGAAACCTTGAAACCCTAAACCCTAAAACCCTAAAACCCTAAACCCTAAACCCTAAAACCCTAAAACCCTAAACCCTAGGCCCTAAATCCTAACCCGCAAACCCTAAAGCCCTGGACCGGACCCAGGGCTTGGGGTTGGGGCTTGGAGTCTAGGGTTTCCCCCTGACAGCCCTAACACCAAACCCGAAACTCTAAACTTGATGGATACTACGATATAATACAGGGTTTAGGGTTTAGGGTTTAGGGTTTAGGGTTTAGGGTTTAGGGTTTAGGGTTCAGGGTTTAGGGTTTAGGGTTAACGCAACGAAGACTACAATGGCTCCGACAGGGCTTTGCTTCTCTAGGCCACTTAACATAGCTGCTATAGGATTGCCTGATTACCACGCGGGGGTTCCTGATGTGGTACAGTCGCCAATTCGCTGCAAAACCCTTAATCTAAGTTTGAAACCATGGGCCCCTGGGCCCTTAACCCTGGGATCCTTATTTTCCCTACTATATACCCTGTATGTACCCGTAAGGGTCCTTAGAAAGGCAAAAGGGTCCATATTAGGGGGCAATACTTCCAACCTTAAACTTATATAAGCTCACCAGATCCCTAAAAACCTAAGGGACCCTGTAGAAGCCCTCTATAGCACCCCAAGGAACCCCATTGTAGTATGCCCTAAACCCAAAAACCCTAAATCCTTAACCCTAAGCCTTAGAATCCTAAATCCTAAACCCTAAACCCTAAGGAACCCCCCGCAAAGACTCCTGCAGATCTCTGGAGGAGGTCGAATTCGCCGGCCAACCAAGTGGAGAGCAGCCTCCTGGGAACTCAGGGGTTCCGCTTTGGGGGTTCCTGGGCTTAGGGTTCAGCCTTT